CGTTCTCGTTCTCGTTCTCGTTCTCGTTCTCGTTCTCGCTCTCGCTCTCGCTCTCGTTCTCGTTCTCGTTCTCGTTCTCGTTCTCGTTCTCGTTCTCGTTCTCGTTCTCGTTCTCGTTCTTTCTCTTCCTTTCTTTCCCTTTCTTCCCTTCCCCAGGTAGCTCTGTATCTGAATTAGTTTATCTGCAGGCATATTAAAAAAAAAAAGTCTCATTCCTTATTATTTTATTTGTTTGTTCTGTTCTCTTCTACATAGAGTCAGCTTCTTTGCTTGTTCTAAGTATATGTTTAACAGCAACTTTAAGCTTTGCAGTTCAACATATCAAAGTATTCTCAGAATGATGGAAGACTATGTTCTGATCTCAATTAATATGCAAAGCAAACTGACATCATGATGTTATTTTAACATTTTAAAGATTTGCTGAATACTTTTGAATAAATCCGATTTTCTTTCACATGCTTATCAAGAATATCAGTTATGAACTTCATTTTGAGCATCATTTCTTCACTTACACACGGTAGAAGGAGAAAGGTCAGTTTAATTTTGTGAGTTTGTTTCATTCAGATTTCTTTGTTAGTTAGAGCACGGAGCTTAGTGTAGGACATTTGCTATTTTAGTGTTCTCCAAAAGGGGAAGAGCCAGGCAAAACTACTGGAGTGGAAAAGAAGAGTCTGAATAGTACTTCAGCTGAAAAAATAATGCTGAAAATTAAGTCTGGTCTAGGGCACTCTGCCATCAATGGGCATCTCTGTTTCAATGTCAGTAGGCTGTGATTTGACTCAGTGAAACCCAGGACGGAATTCTCTATAAATACAGTAGGTAGGGGCTTCACTTCTGTAGTGTGCTACAGGCAAGCTGTTTATTTTCAGATCAACATTTCTGTGTGAATTTCAGTTTCTGTCAGTAGGTCATGTTACTTTCTACATCTCATATAGCAACTTTGATAAATTCACAGTACTGCAAGTTACTGTGACCTAAACCAAACTATGTGACATTAAATAAAATAGAAAATAAGTTTCAGTATAGGTATATTAAATTCATTTACTCATTGAAGCCTTGTCTATCTGTATTAGCTTTCTAGATAATAGTCTAGAATGCCTCAAGTATCATCACAGATAAAGAATCATTTCTGTAAGGTTGCACATCCATTCTCAAAGTGGCATGCCAAATACATGGAAGGATCACAAAGAAAAGTAACTTTATTTCAAAAATACAAAAGGAACAAAAAAAGTATTGCCTTAAATGAGATGTCAAAGTTACATAAAAACATGTAATTCCCCATAAAACTTTGGGTTTATTACATTTTTATTAATGTAAACTTTCTAAACTTCAGGTATTGTGACAAAGCAGAACAAAAAATGTGGAATAAATTAAAAGTTATTAATTATAATATCATGCCAATTAATTTATAAATGTTGATTTGAATCCTTGAAAAGGGAACCGTTTTATCTCTATTGAACTAAAGTGATTACAGAGAGTTATGAGCACCAGCAAACTGGAAAGAATAACTCTTTCCTGTTTGACCCAATCCACATTCCATGGAGCATCTTGTCATAATGATAGTTTTCTTTCTTATTCACTGTCAGTTTTGTATCCTTTTCCTAGTGCATATCCCTCTGTACAATGAACCTCCAAGTGGGTGCTGATCCTGCTGGACTAAAGGATAAGATATTTTCCTTAAAAAAAAAGGCAATACTACAATGAATTTGATCAACTGAATTTGCAACTGTTGGCAAACAGGTTTTTTCACCTACGAGAAAATGCTTCATTGAAGCTGTGAGAAACATTATGTTGACAAGACCTCTCTGCTTCAAACACTTGACTTTGTCACTTAAATTATCAATCAAGAGTCACATTTTAAAATGAGTGTCTTTTGATGTCTTGTACTTCTTAAAGTAAGTATTTCAGTATGCCAAGGTGACTTCAAGGAGGAAGTGCACTTAATGTTCATTTGAAGGGCTTTTCTTCTGGACAGTATGATTATCTCATCTTGTCAAGGAGGCGGTCAGGGGTTAGCTTTTGTTCTATCTTTACCCATTTTCCTCCAGTTCCTGTTTCTTGTTCATTCTCTGCCAGAATACAAATCAAACCAATGATGTGTGTGGGACAAAATGACCATCATCTTTTTGGTGTGTATCTCTATCAAGCTATAGTAAACCAGAGTTCCTTGTAGCATTAAAGGGAATGCCATATTGGTACAATTAAATTGTGGCAATGCACAATGTGCAGTTTATAAGACTTATATATACTATAGTATATACTATATACTATATACTATATACTATATACTATATACTATATTATATATATTGTCTTATTATAAGAGTTCTCATAATAAAGGTAAAAATGAAGTGTCCCACAGCTAAGGGCTTCTAATATGGATAATGGGCTATTGGATTTATATACAGCTGCAGATTATACTGAAAGGG